ATGCGTGGTACTGTATCTTGGAACCTATCCATCGCAGAGGCTTGCGGAAAAAATTATTACTAAAACACCCAAGAGAAAAACCTGGAAAACATTTTCAAATATCTGAAATGGCTTCAAGAGGGCGCAACTGCAATCTTGAATCTAAAAAAGTGATGTTTCCCGCTTATTGGCAAGGAAGCGAAAATTTACAAAATCAATTAATAGTAAAATTATAAAAACGTATCTCTTTTGGTCCAATCACTAAAAGCCTACAAAGTATACAGCTTTCGTGACTTGACTATCACTTTACTAATCATAGTTTCAGATTGGATCAGGCAGTAAAATCATTTATACAACGCCACTGTCGACATCTATCGACCCTAGCTTCACGCGACATCTTTTAGAAGAAAGAGCAAGCATTGTATTGATTTTCCTCGCTTCGGATTCAGTTCTACATCATTCATCGAAATAGATATCCCGTTAATGCTTCGTTGCACTGGGATTATAATACTGGAAGTGTAACAGAGATAGCCTTTTTTAAGTCCTCTAGGATAGATGTAGAAATACAGAACAGTATCAAGGGAAGACAGCAGCTGGGCAAATCTTCTTTTTGTAGGTCAAGCGTTATAAACACCTAAAGCTTTAAGTATGGAAGTATGAGCTAGACGTCAACAATCTGTATGGGACCACCAACAATGCAGTTCCAGATGAAACATGTTAGGCGTATACGAGTATACAGGGTGTAAACGTTATGGTAGTCATTATTAAAATGGGTAATAGAGAGGTCAAAACAAGTCAAAAAGTTCATATGACCCATGGTCCAAAAGTCAATACATTTTTATCTAAATGGCTTTATAGTTTAGAACTTTAAGTGCTTTATATCGACCACAATCTTACTAACTTTTATAATCTAATCTAAAACGTTTTTAAATTGGGTAATTAGCAAATAAATAGCATTAAGTTTTTCTAAGTTAAGCCAAAATTTGTAGTCAGTAAGTGAGTTTCATTCAATTAAATATTTAAAACACACATGACAACAGCGCGTCAGTCTTTCATCACTCTTATCGAACCGGCAATCGATCGCAAACGGTAACAGTGGTTAGTTATCGTTTTGCATAGATAAATTACTTTATCGCGTACGTCGTCGTGTTTATTTACAATGTTCTCGAATCAAGAGTTCGCTGACATGTTGTTAGTTTACGGTGAAGCTCGTCAGAATTCAAATCTTGCAGCTCAAATTTATCGTAACAGATTTCGCCAACGGGTACACCCAGATAGAAGGACAGGAAGTGTTCAGCCCACTAATATTCGCACTCGTGAAAGACAGGTTGCTGTAGAGCAGGAGGAACAAATTTTAAATATCGTGGAAATCAATGCAGATATCAGCACTCGGGAATTAGGCCGCCGCGTAGGACTATCGCATACCATAGTCCATAGAATCCTACGGGAAAATTTGCTCTATCCCTACCATGTACAACGAGTGCAGGCCTTGGTACCAGAAGACTAACATTCTGTCAGTGGTTTTCACACAAAAACATTGAAAATCCGGATTTTTTTAAAAACATTCTAGCGACGGACGAATTTACCTTTACGCGAGACGCGATATCAAATTTCCAAAATACTCACTCATGGGTCCAAGAAAATCCTCATACCATTCGTGAAGGTCATTTCCAACAACGTTTTAAAATAAATATTTGGGCGGGTATTCTTAACGATCAGGTAATTTGCCCTTTCGAGTTACCCCCAAAGTTGTCAGGGGAAGGATACCTTAGCTTTCTAGCCAATAACCTACCAGAACTTTTGGAACAGACCTTAGACAGCATGCCATTACAACGGAGAATTTGTGGTTTCTTCATGACGGGGCACCACTACACATTAAAAAGAAAAACAATGTGTGTATCAAAATTGTGTTCCCTATTTATAAGTGGATTTTTTTAATACGTTATCAAATAATGAAATAATACCTAAGAGCCAAAAATAAAAAACTCCATCTTTATTTACACTGCGTTCCGTCGTAAGTTGCGTCTGCCATTGCGGCGTTGTCAGGTTTTATTTTACTTTAAAGTCGCTTTTCTCTAAAAAAATGCGGTTCTGCCCCCATGTTATATGAAACTTTTTGCTTCTTTCAACCCCCTCTGTCAGCCATTTAAATAATGACTATCATAACGTTTACACCCTGTAGAATTTTCCGTTTACTGCCCACGCCAGATGCCGTGAAATATTGTAATCGTGAGACATTTCGAAATTGAAATATTATGTTTTTTGGATGTACGCTAATCTTATAACCCCTTATAACTTGAGAAGTACTGCTCGGATTTTGATGAAATTTTAGCACAAAGCTATCTACAACTATACCAAGGATGAAGGAGCTTTTAGTTTTTGAAAATTGGACTAGTGACGACGGAGTGGGGGGCAGAAAACAAAAAAAATCGCTCAAACTTTGTTTTTCGAGGCTCCTGATCGTTTTTGAATAATTTTTATAGGAATTGAAACTTGGCAGTTATGGTTTGTAGGGTGTAGGGGGTTGTAAATGTTACATCTTGAGTATTAGTAACAACGCGAAAATTAAATGATAAAGGTTCAATGTATAATATAATCTTAATAATTCGAAATAACTTGCGTCGCGATGATGCATCGTCGTGGAGGCCACTGCCGACTATACAATGGGTAACAAACTCCAACTGGTAAATCTGCGGTGGTGTCGTCACTGACACACAGCTACAGGAGAATATTTATATATTTTAGCAATATTTGGATATTAGCATCCACCTTGGAGTTCTGCGATGCTTTTGTAAATGATGACTTAACTGTTTTTTATCTACATATCTGTAACTCAGGGGTAAGCAGTCAAAAAAGCAATATTAGGATTAGGGGGAAGAACAACTAAAAATATCAACACAAGCTTAAATGGTCGTATTAGATTTTTATAATTACAAATGTTGGTAACCCACAATCAGATGCTTACGATTGTTTGCTACAATAGAAGTCAAAAACCAAAAATAATGGAATTTAATTATAGTAAGTCTGAATTGTATCAAACGGCACTCAAGACTGTTTAAATGTACCACCCATTTCGACTAACCTTTAGTTTGTTTTAGTCCGTCTATGATGGCTCTCTGAATATTACGTCAAGTAGATTGACTCAGTACTTATGACTCATTAGTATACAACAGACACGGACTGACAAACTGACATGAATGAGAAATACGGATTTGTATGATGCAGATATCTTTAAGCATCAGAAAACTTGTGAACTGAGGTTCGATTGATATCGCGAGATTAGTACTTCCATCGTTTAGGTAGACGTAGATTGATCCAGAGGCGCGGAAATAAAATCGCTGGAACATCAGAGATTCCTTCTAGTGTTCAGTTATTGTTTGGAGGGGATGCAAATTGTAGGTTGGAAGCTGTATGCGGTAAATGGTTGTAAGTTATTGCATATTTGGTGTCAGTATAAAACGTTCTATTATTATGGAGCTGCTGATCTCAGTGACACCATGCACTTGATAGACATAATATAACACATTTTTTCAGTACACCTGTCATGGAAACAGAAATAAGTGACATATAAATCCGAACACCCAGTTTAAATGGTTTTATTTTAATAAAAGTTGGTAAATGTATTTATCTTACTGTAAATAACAAGTGAAAAAATTTTCAGCCTTATCAGTTGGACATTCCGGTTTTTATACTGCTTTTTCTTAATTCACTAACGCTCTAAAAATGAATATTTCAGCCGCATTAAATAATCAACGTTGGCGGATTTTGGTTCTTGACATCCTTTACGATCGGTTACGATGCCTAGAGTACGGAGACCTGTACGATTTCGTCAACTTAGTGAGTTTGATAGGGGCTGTATAGTGGGACTTCGGGAAGCTGGACTTTCTTTTCGGGCAATTGCAGTTAGAGTGCAAAGAAGTGTAGACACTGTGGTTAGGTGTTGTCAGGCATGGCTTCGAGAAGGTCGTACGCAAAGCGCAAGGGGCACTGGACGCCGCCGTAGAACAACAGACCTATTGGCATGCGAAGTGTTTACCGACGAATGAGAAGTTTGGCTTGTTTTCATACCGGCCACACTGGGTCCTCCCTTTAACTCGAGAACACCGACGTAATCGCCTTGAGTGGTGCAGGCAATGGTCACTCTGGGATCAGGAATGGAACAGTATTGTCTTTAGTGACGAGTCTCGATTTTGTTTAGGCATGCACGATGGTCGTGCCAGGGTTAGAAGGCGACGTGGTGAACGGAGGAATCCACAGTTTTTTGTTGAAAGACATGTTCATCACACTGTTGGAGTTATGGTTTGGGGTGCTAAAGCTTATGGTTCCAGGTCCCCTTTAATCTTCATCAGAGGTAACATGAACGCGCAGCGTTATATCCACGAAGTTCTAGAACCCCATCTTTTACCCTATCTTGACACCCTGGCAGATCCAACTTTCCAACAAGATAATGCCCGACCACATGTTGCAAGAGTCACAATAGCCTTCTTTCAACATAATGATTTCACATTGTTACCATGGCCACCAAGATCTCCCGACTTATCCCCAATTAAGCACGTGTGTGATATGATGGGTAGGAGATTACTCAATTTGCAACGTCCTCCTCAGACTCTAGAAGCGCTTCGAGAGGAGTTGGTGGTTGCCTGGAATGAGATGCCACAGGAGGACATTGACCACCTGATGAGAAGCTTGCCTAGGCGCGTTGGAGAATGCGTAGCACATCAGGGTGCATCCACACATTATTAAAGGTCAAAGGGCTTTAAAGCAGTGCAATTATTTTGAAATTTTTATCATCTACTTATTATGCTTCATTAAGTACTTATACAAAATTTTATTAAAATAAAACCATTTAAACTGGGTGTTCGGATTTATATGTCACTTAGTATATTATAGATTTGCTTTGCTTTACATAGTTTTATATTCATATATCAAAACTGTGAAAGTGTAATGTTGAAGTATTAGATACTTTGACATTAATTTGTAGATGATATACGTATATATATAATTCAATTTTTTGATGACAGGTGTTCACTCCATCTGAAGTTGATGCCCTGATCTTGCACACAGAAGACGAGAAACGGAACGGTAGCAATCACCATCACCAAAAGTCATAAATGCAAAGAGCATGAAAAGAGACGTGTATATCTTATCTGCTATAAATTACTTAAGTGTAATACATGATAAGCTTAAACATGTTATGTAAGAATGTGTACAGAATTAAAGTCAGTCAACATCTAAGCATGTCCATCCAATTTTATAGACTTTTATCCAGATTATCATCCACGTGTACTCACAATTTTGAAAATTCTATTACTTTATAGGCTGATACGAATATAATTTGACTGACTTTAATACTGGATATATAACCATTAATCACAGGCAAAATATGTATTTTCCGTGAAATAAGACTTATCTATCGAAGTTTTTATACTACTATCTGTGCCAAATTTTAAATAACATGTCGCCAAATTTTAAGCATATACTATTATATTCCACTATACATATTATGATACGATATTTACACTTGCACGTGAGATATCAGCATTACCAAAATTCTTAATCAGAAATTACGGAAATTGATATATACATACATATCGATTACTACTATTCTAACTTCGCTATACCCTATAAGACTGTTCTATGCCACTACATTAAAGTAGCTACAAATTGCGCACTATCAAGTATTTGTGCTTGGTGTTACGATTATTTGTGAAGAAGCATTTTTTTACTAAATAATCCACCAAGGTCAAAAATCCCTTATTATGGATAATGATATTTATATTAAAATTTACATGTAGTATTGTCAAAAGATGGATACATAACAAAAATGGAAATACCGTGGTAGGGGTTCTCGGCCTTACAATGGAAGACTGAAATTTTCAGTTAAAAATCATTTCATCTTTTAGATTATTCTTTCCAACTTCAACAAATTTGGTCAACGTAAAAATCAACACCAAGACCAAGACAAATGCAACATAATTAAAGTCTTGAACTTTATCCACCTTATTGAAAGCCACACAATATGTTCACTTTCAAAATTCATGTGGACAAATTGACAACAAGTTGGAATGTGTCATACGAGCAAATGACATGTCCATATATGCAGGAATTATAAATTTTCGCTTATTGGGGCTCCACGTTGGTGTCAGGCCGAGAATCTTACGAACAACAGCTATCTCCTATAAACAAATGTAACAACATAGCTGGATGTATATAAGGAAATGGACGTAACTTAGAAAATTGTAATTAAAACAATTGTAAGTAACTTTACCTAAAATTATCAGCTGTTTGTTAACATCAGAAAAGGCAAGGGCGTCCGCAGGGCGGTGCTTGGAGGGCCATACCCTTTTAGAATCTGGTTGAACCGGTTGAAAATTTGCATATGTAACATGATTTTATATACACTTTTTAGATTTTTTTGGATTTGGCCCCCCTGAGACAATTTGCTACTTCCATGTTTCATAAAGTTTTGAGGGCAGGTACACTGCCACAAAAAGTCTGCGGAAGCCCATGCAAAACTGTATATCTTAATTTTATGTATTTTCCATTTCTCATGGTCTATATGAATTGCATTTATTCTAAAATTATTTTAATCTTTACGTTTTGGAAAGTTTTGATTCAAAGTGTGCATTTGTGCTTATAATCAGCAATTATATGAGCCTTGGTGGGCTATCAGACGCTCCAGTCCAAGCGACCTAAAACTACAAAGAAATATTTTGCTCATTTCTGTATTTATAACAGGTGGTTCATTTAGAAGGAATTATTCTATTGAATATTTCTGATATGCCACATCTGCACAGTGGACCAACGTACCCAACACCAATATTATTATTATTAAACAACAAATTTGAGTTGAGTACAAGTAGTATAAACTCAAGCACATAATAAATAATAGTGTACAGTCAAAAGAAATATAACAATTTGACAATCTTAGCACTTCTGAAGTAGACATATACAGAATGGGAACAATATGTTAAGCACTGCGGTGTCTATCATAATTGTTTTTGAAACTGTTGACACGGTTTGAGAGGTGACGAGTAGAGGTTCTAAAAGCTTCCTTCTGCAATTTGAAGTTATGGCCTCTGAGATTGTTCGTTGCCAGACGAAACAGATGCGACATGTCCACACCAAAAAAATTATGCAGTGCTCTGAAAGTGATGATGAGATCTCCTCGCATTCTTCTATCAGCAAAAACAGGCAGGTTATATAACTCGAGGCGGTCTTCATAACTTGGCTTACGTGTGCCATAAGCCATACGTGTAGCACGACGCTGAGCGGCCTCTAATAAGCTGCTATCGCGAACAAGGTTTGAATCCCATACCGGAGCAACAAACTCCAGTAGGGGTCGTACGAAAGTTGCGTACAAGAAGGAGAAGGTAATAACGGTGCAACCGCTAAATGATCTTTCCATCATATATAGCAACCGCTTTGCCTTAGAGGTTATGTTCTGAATGTGCTCCGACCAGGTGAGCCGGTCATTAACTCAGACCAAGATCTGTGTGAAGAAAAACAGTCTCTAAGGTATGTTTGCCAATCTTATATGTTAAGTTAGGATTATTCTTTCCCAGGTGGAGAACGTAGCCTTTCGAGAGATTTAAAGGCAGGAGCCAAAGTTCTGACCACTTTCTGATCAGCTTGAGGTCTTCTTGAAGCACAGATGAGTTCATAGCAGTGTTATAGACTTTAGTATCATCTGCATAGATAAAACACGTAGAAGAAAGTCGGGTGGGAAGGTCGCTTGTATAAAGAAGAAAAAATATTGGCCCTAGCACAGATCCTTGTGGAACTCCACTAGTAACACGATGGCTAGAAGAATAGGCGTCTCCAACACGGACGGAGAAAGATCTATCTAACAAGAAAGCTTCAATCCATAACAACAAATTATATTATTTTATATTATATGTAGAAGCAAGAGCAATACGCATTGGCAGAGTATGGTGAGCATATAATCCGGTTGCTGCTGGTTTGCTATGCGAGGGTTTCTTGGAGAAACATTATTAAATCATCATGAGTCAAGTATTTCGTAAGGGGTGTCTACGCTTTTTTTATTTTTGTTTTCTACAAAATTTAGTCGATCTTGATATTTGATTATATTATACAAATATGGCAGCCCTGCTTATCTATGCTCGAAAGCGAAACGCATCTCAAGGAATTCCCCACATATGAATATGCTTACTTGCTTAGAAACCTAGCTACAAATTCTCCTCGTAGAAATCTATATAACCGAGTAGAGAGCAGAATATGACATCTCTTAGTCGGGAACTGGCTGGTTTGATAGTGCCTCATGACTATTTTTTACTATTAATAGTGGTTTTGAAAGATCCAATTTCGTGTTTGCCGGAAGTATATTAGCAGAAGTATGGACTTCAAAGTGCGTGAAAGCCAAAACTTGATTCAAATTGAAAATGTACCAAAACCTTTACGTAAGCATGGGAGGGGGAGGTTAAGAGATTTGCTTACTTTTACAGACAAGTGAGAGGAGGAGGTTGATAGTTGTAAAAAATCTGCTTACGCAATACTTGAATAGCCTTTGAGACTCCAGAACCGCCCGAGATAAAATTTGATACTTGTCAGAAAAACAAAAACACCTTGTCCGATTTTGCTGGTCGAATAAGACACGTAGGACTCAAACTCGCTCAACTGCACGCAGCCAGAATACATTAGCTCATCTCTGGTGAGTCACGATTAAACCGCTTAGTTCACTCATGTCCAAATGAGAGGTGATCGAAGCAATTGCATCGCCAAACATAATACCATATGTATGCGATGAGTAGGTACTGATCTGACAGTTATGGCTCAGCTATTTGGAATTGATTTTTTTTATACTCGCGCCAACGTTTGTTTCTAAAATACAGTGTGTATAGTATAGCACTTGGTGCCATGGATCTTTTTCCAGGGAGAACCGTCCATCGACAAGAGATAAAATTTTGTGAAAATGTACCAAATTTTCTCTGGAGAGGGAAAAACACTAAATATCCGCAAAATTATACAAATTTTAAGGCCCAACCGCATTCACAGCGGAGGGGAACACAGCCCCCTTTGGGTGCTCATGCTTAGACCAACCTATGGCCCACACAGTTGGACTACAGATGAGCCGGTATTTTTTACACTGAGGCAGCCGCGCAGGCAGAAGCCTAAATGCCGGGGCACCGCGGCTGCTATAAGGAGCTAAAGAAACATTGTTTATTCAATTCTTGAACCGAGATGGATTCGTGCCAGATCCAGTCCTGGGTGATGTGGCCTCCAACCATCCGAAAAAAATGGCTCTTTGTTCGAAATCGGCCATCCATCGAAACCGGATGAGCACTAGGACGCTTTTTGTTCGTCAAGGTACAGTACTGTGTTTTGGAAGCATTACACTGTACAAGATTGTTGCGTCCCCAAGCCCTGATATCCTCCAGGTCTGTCGCCAGAGGAACTTCTCTTCTTCTCTCTATCAAAGCTGTAGATTGGATTGATCGTAGAGCAAAGGACAAGTAAGAGGAACAAAGCCGGAGCCTGAAATTCAAACACGTGGTCTTTAGATGATATAGTGTCAGCAAGAAGGTACTTCTTGCCATACAGCTAGTAAAACCATACGACAATCAGCTAGTTCCTCGTTTCCACCTAGACGGTACGATATTAAACTTTTAGCCTTTTGCCTGTGAGGCTATCTAAAGTCCACGTTGATCGTAGTAACGGCCAATATTTGAGCGCAATAATCTAAAAAATAATAAATGTCCGGAATGTTTGTTTCATTCTACACTACCCCAAGAAATTGATGGTTTTCATTTTGTCTTGTTTTAAATACAATAAATCTAACTGAATCACCTATTATATTTTATTGAGTATACAGAAGCAACAAGAAGAAAGTACCTCTTCATCTTCCATAGCGCATCAAAATTTTAGTCCATTGTTGACGGATACATATATCAATGGAAATCTGTTAGCTATATGATTTTCTATGCTAAATCGATGGAACTAAAGAATAGATGTATATGTATGTACCATTGTATCTTGAATGTGTTCAGTTTTAAAGAATTTAAAACAGTTTTGTAAGGAAATTGTATATATTTTGTAATGAATGTTCGATAAATGTCATTCAAACGGCCATAACTTCTTCTAGTTCAAATGTAATGTAATAAACTGTCTGTGCCAAAACAGGTGTGTTTTACATAAATATGAATCGATTTATACCAGTAGGTATCAAGTTAAATAGATGATACTCAAGAGTCGATTAATCAGTTAAAGTTGAGGTATCAAATTATTATACTTACTGACCAAACATGTCACAGTACTACCACAGTATAGGTCCAATAGAATCAGTCTGGGTCTTGTCACACGAGTGACAAATATTCCACTCGTCTGTATGAAATGTTTTGTAAGGGTTATCATTTGAATATCAGGTTTATTTGCCTAACATTTTATGATATGTATTTTAGTATCCATTATATAGAGTGTTTATATTTTGATATTTCACTAATACAGTTATCACTTTCAAAATAATAACAACAGATAGGTTGAAGGATTCGAAATAACTTAAGACTTAATCATTGAAAAAGTGCTTGTAGCTTTCCGAAGTGAAATTTCTTTCGAGCTCCAAATAAAGGTACCTACTTTTTTAATGAAGTAACATATGTATCGATCTTGATTTATCTGCTGACTTATGAGTATCATCTAGATTGATAAATAGGAAATTATTGTTTTAAATGGATATGTTATATGAAGAGAAATAATAGGTAACTTGATTCTCACCCCTTTTTTACTAATTTGACGTAATTGGTTGAAGGTGTTAACTATCTAGCCAAAAGGAACGTGATTTCTTGATTGTCCAGGTTCAGCATGACATTTTGTAATAATCTGTATGGATGTTTATATGTTCTAATTCTATATAATAGTAATACTTCTTGTTTATGAGAGCTATATATCTATTTATCGTATTATATATAAAGAATATTTATATATGTACACTATAAAGATGCCAATATTACCTATATAAAATTCCTGCAGTTATATGCATTATAAAATCTATTAAATAAATCCAAAAGTTTATGCCAAAAAATGATTAAAGAAGGACGGAGCGCCAAGTTAAGAAAAAAGGATGCTGCAATAGATTGGTCAGTTTTTCGAATACGTGCGTGCGATTAGGCTGTTATAGACAGTGATATTTACATTGAAGAAATGAAGATTTTCCATAAGTAGTTGTGGATTAGCTTTCTTATTCATTGATAGTTTGCTATATGTAATAGCATAGCTTACATTATTAAATTGAAAAACTATGCATGACCTTTTATGACAAAACTCAAGTTTGATTCAAATACTGATTCTTATAAAAAAAAACACTAAGTATAAATCATATGAGCCTTATTGTTATTTTTGGATGTACCTTCTGCTCTAGAAGTATTTCCATTGTTTTATGAATCACCTTGTATAATTTTTTTTTTATACTCCAACTACCACGAAGGCCTTAGGCCTAAACACCCATTGGGTACCGTGGGGCTATAGGGGGATACACGGGAAAGGGGAACGCCACACGAACTCTGGCGAGGGAACACGTGTGCATGCAACATGCACACATTCTGGCTCCGCCTACGAGATCCGCCGGGTGGTACCTCCACGTTCGACAGTCAGAGTCCGTCTACCACCTACGGACAATCACAACATCCATAGCCAAGAGAAAAATTTCTCCTGTGACGGGACTCGAACCCGCACAGCGCACGGCGACTGATCAGGAGACCGAAGAGTCTACTACTGCGGCCACCGCTGCTGCCTAGCTCCTTGGGGTAGACAGTTCATTATACCGATGCCAAATCAAGGGCAGTATCAATTTTTCAAACTTGGCGCTTTACAAATACTAAATAATTAATTAAAAATCTATTACAGCTAGATACTCTACCGTCCAGACTGATTGAAAATGTATAATGAACTTCAAGATTCTAATTTTCAGAGGATCTGATATTGAGCAGTTTTGTGTTATTTTCATATACGAGTTACATTAGCTAAGCATGTCTAGTAGTCCAAAAGGAAGTACAAAAATGTACCTATCTTGAGACATTTGCTACTGAGCAAACGTTTGTAAAGGATCAGGGTTCATAGGAGATTTTGTTTGCCTTAAGAATAAACAGCTCAAATCCTAAGTTGTGTAATTTTTGCATTCAAATATTTCATACCATATTTTATGTTATTTTAAACTTTCAATACCGTTTTGCTTTTTATTTCAGTACTTCATTGTTCTTTGGAAGCCCGGGGTTCGTAACTTTGGCGTTTTTGTCCAAAATTCACCCATTTTCGAATATTAGATTAACTACTTTATGATAAAACATATGAGTCACTCTGCTCACAATTAAACAACGGTTGAAACAAATGACGATTATAATGAGACTTTAACTTTGATTTTTATCGTGACCACAATGACGCAACATTTCCATATGTTTTGATGGGACCTTTCAGCCAACGTAAAGCGGTCCAGCGACGCAGCGCTTTATGATGAACCGTGTAATAACTTTGACAGCCTGCAACATTAACCAACATACTATCAAATCTGACAGCTATGTGAAAATTGCTGTCAGTATAAAAGCGCTGCACCACTGGATCGAAGCACGAGTAAAAAGTGTTACGAGCATGTCCTCAAATAAAAGTGGTAAATTAAATATTTGAAAACAAAAACAGCAAAATCGGTGGAATATCTAGATGCATAAATTTCATAGATGAGATCAACTTGAAATTGGAATTGATTTAAGGGCCGAAAACAGCGCCTATAAGCACTGATCATTTACATCTCTTGAAATACTACAAATTTCAGAAAATGATCGAATTTGAATCTCATTGTATGGTAAAAGCTACTGGTCATGATTGCTCGATATACCTCGTATATGTTTGTTCCTCAGGCCTCCTAAAAGCACAAATATGTCATTTTTCAAGTTATGAATGTGTCTTGAATTCCCTACTTTACGAAACTGTTGCGAAAGCACACAAGGTTTCAGAACAAGAGTATGTTACACATTTAGATTGAGAAGTACGCATACAGTTTTTATTACTAATATGAATGAGTAATGGTTGTTCAAACATTTAAAATTCTAAGTCCAATATAAATAATTCCTAACAGAGATTCACGGTTAGAAGTAGTGTCAAAAAGGACCAAGTTTTTGGATTTTGTTGAGTGTGGGAGAGAGTACCTATATCTCAATTTTTTGGTGCAGTAATTCTGTACAGCAATTGGACGTATTTCACACATGATAGATTTCCCGTACATACATTTGACCCAACAGAATGATTAGAGAAATATCACGTCTCTTTCTGGGTTGAGCCCATTACTGCCACGCTGCTGAGTCTAACGAGCGAATCTATCGAACGATGATGTATGGGTGGAGAGGCGACGTTGCCAGGTAGACGGTACTATGGGTAGGGCAGGAAAATGTGTATCTGAGCCTGTTTGACTGACTTGATCAGTTTAATTTCTCTGTTTTACATGTTCATACCTAACCTTTTTCTCAGAGGGCCTAACAACATGTGTCGAATATGATCCTGTATGAACTGATTGTAGCACTGTTTGGGAACTGCAGTAGTTGACTCCATTTTTGTTAGTTATGGCGACTATTTGATGAACTGGTTGGTATCAATGGATCAATAATATTTGGCGCTAGCTGGCAACATTCTGTTTCTTGGGTGCCACTGAAATTTGAACCAATCCAAGCCTGTGCGTGAATAGGCGTGCTTTACTTGGTATTCGGACTATGCACACGGATTCCGCAAGGACTGTTGGAGATATAAAGCTCCTTAAAAATTACACTGGAGCTTTGAAGGAACGATCCTTTTATACCTAGTAGGGTTGGATTATGATTTCGGTAATCTCTGACTCATTTTTCAAGTATTACTGAGTTTTTAAAACTTTGTGTGCTTTCAGATATTTACAATCTCAGCCATCCTTTAGAGTTAAGACATATTGTTATATGTGCTAAATTCTATGGTACCTATGTGTCCCTATGTTGAACTTCCTTATGTTACTGATGTGTGTTTAATGTTTGTAAGACAACTACAGATACTTTATGTAAATAATATGTATTACGTAAACTATGAAACTGTAAGCTGTGGGTTTATATAAAAATGAAATATACTATTTTTCAAAAATTCCTTCAGTCTTAATTATTAGCCGTACCTTGGGGTAGACTCACAAAAAGAAACAATTTAGAAAAATCTCCCCAGTTCTCAGCAATACTCTTTCGAAAATTTTTGACGTGTATTTCGTATATAAATTTGTCCATCCGTACCTGAAGGGCAAAGAAACAATGTCGATGGACCCTGTGTTTGGCTGACTTGGCCTGTTTAATTCACTATTCTGCATGTTCGTCTCAGAGTGTCTAACTTGTGCTGAATATAATCCTTTATGTACTGATGACGGTGACTACGCAAGAAGTCAACCTACCTGACGCCATTTTTTCCGTTTTATTTTATGGTGCTTAATCTCATAGCTGCTTCACACAATCAAATAAATTCACGAATGAATTTTAAGAAACATTGGTCAATTTCTTCAAAATACCTGTCAGGTAGCGAAATTACATGATCAAATTTATTCAAGTTAACCATATCAACACATAGTAACTTCCTATGATACCAACCTCAAGGAAAAAATACCAAAACATAACAAGTATACAGGGTGCCGCATCGAAAAGGAAACAGACGCATTTACTGGCAGCTCAGTTTTTTTTTGGAAAAACGCTCAGACTCGTCGGTTTTGTTTTCGATGGGGACACAAGTTTGGCAAAAAATCACGTTAACACGTGCAGCCCCGTGGGCGGGGGTGACACCAACCCTGAAATCTTAAATGGAAAGGGGGATTGAGTGATACCTTATTTTAAAGGTCCTTCAATTCCCTTTATAATGATGTAAAATACATGAGCTTCAGTTCAGTAGTTTTGAAGATTTATTGATTTAAAGCTTAAAGTAGACTTTAATAGGTATGAGTATGTGCTATTTTCAGAAGAAATTTGACTAAAAGAATTTACTTAATAAGAAAATGCTTTTCTTCACTACGCCCATGGTTTATTTATCATTTTGTTGTTGAAAATAGCTATTGGAGCGTTATTTGTGGCAAAAAAGTTATTTCTTGAAGAAAGATAAGGAAATATCTCGTACTTATTTTAAATAGGAATTTAGTACATTGTTTGCGATTGATTTGAGCAAACTTTGTTGCTAAAATAACTTGTAACGCTTTGTTACATAAATTAAACATGGTATATTCAGAAAGAGTTTAAATTATCGAAATATTTTCGGAAATAATCAGTGCGCTAACAGAACAGCAGAAATATTTAAAGAGCGACATGACAACAGTAACGTACATCGGAAATATGTTCTAGAACTTGTAGTTAAATTTCGTGAATCTTGGTCAGTCGCCAATAAAAAACAACATTGAAAAACCCATAAGGAACGAAGCAATAGAAGTTGGCGTTTTAGGGCAAGTTTATGTAGATCCTACGTTAAGTACCCGCAAACTGGAGACTGTGTGTGGTGTTAGTCGACGTACTGTCCAACGGATTCTAAAGGCCCATAGTTTTCATCCGTATAAAATTCACCTGGTACAAGAACTTAATGAAGTTATTTTGATCGGCGATTACAATTTTGTGAATATATGAGTGAACGAATTATAAACGATGAACATTTTCTATTCAACACTTGCTTTTCAGACGAATGTTCCTTTTTCTTAAATGGCGTAGTAAATCGTCATATCTGCCGATATTGGTCCGATTCTAATCCCAGAATTTATCATGAGGTTCATACACGGCAGCCACAAAAATTAAATGTTTGGGCTGGTATTTTTGGCCATCATGTAGTTGGAAAAAAGTTTCTTACCTGGAAATTTGACCGGTGAAATGTATTTGGAATTACTGAAAGACGCCATAGATCCTGCATTAACAGCCATAATTGAAAATCAGAATGATCTGTTTCGTTTTCGATGCGCCACCCTGTATAATGTTACCTCATCAATAAAAAGATGACACCATACTTAGATACTGATTGTTTCTGTTGATGTATTAAATAATTCATTCAAACCAAAGCGCCAAGCACAACTATAGGGATTATAACTTGAATCTCAATCACAAAACGTGAACGATTGAGATATTCAAAACATCGATAATGGTGATGAAAATTTGCAAACCACCAATGTTACAAGTGATTCAGATCTTCGTAAAATCAGGTTACTATAATAGTAACGTGAAGGAGACAGCCTAATCTGTAGATTAGCTTGTATTATCTTGTAATACTTTTTTATTTATATGTCCATCCAAAGAAGCTGCTGATGCGTTTAATAATTTCTTTATCAATTCTGTATCGGAACTGAGTAAATCTATGACTTTCAGCGAGCAGCATGTACCAACTCCCATCAACCCAAATTCCATGTTTTTAAGCCCAGTCACTAAAGATGAAGCAGGCTTTGATGAGGTACCTTGCTCATTCCTATTAAATATCATAGACTTAATTGTAAAACCTCTGAGAGCACTGCTAAATCTATGTTTTGCGGAAGGCATAGTTCCTCATAAGCTAAAAGAGTCATTTGTAATACCAAACTATAAAAAAGATGATATCACGAACATGGTTAATTACAGGGGCATTTATTTGTTATCTGTGTTTGCAAAATTCTTTGAAAAAGGTTATTACAATAAACTGATAAACTTTGCTGACAAATTCAATATCATCAACAGGAATCAATTTGAATTTCAGAAAAATCTATCTACAAAAGATGCAGTACTCGTATTGTCTTCGAGTTACTTTGTCTTAACCTTTCTCGAAAAGAAAGACAAAAACTGTTGTCTTTTAAGTTTAAGGCGTGCTTTCCACACTGTCAACCATGCTCTTCTACTCGGAAAGCTTAACAACTGCGGAATCAGTGGAACCGCTTTAAATCGGTTAGAAAGTTATCCATCCGACAGGGAACAAAGAGTTGTCATTAATAATGATGTAAATTATTTTCTAGCACCAAAGTTGTTT